TTGTTCCTTTTGATTAAAGACTGGGAAACTGGGGCGGGCTCGCACTCATGGATCCCTCCAGTCTCTGTAGGGTGAGCCGGCCGATTTTACTACCAAAAGTCTGCAAATTCTTCTCAGGTGTCCCCTGAAGACCTGTGCTCTGACTCAGGTCTTCCAGGGCCAACCTGATGATTTGTCACAGTACAGAGAAGCGCTTCCTCCAGACACTGGAGGCCAACTGCAGGTGGCTCCTTGTCCTTCTGCCCGCCCTTCTCTCGCACCCAAGACCTGCCCTTCCTGTGCCATCAGGGCCACCCCCAGTGATAACTGTAAAGAGTACATGGCAGCACCAGAGAAGTGAGGCGTGCCCTGCCTGCTGGGGCCAAAATCCACATTGGATCAACACGCGTTATTGACTTTCCTCACAAGCAAGCCTTGTACATTTATTTCATGCCACACATGGGGATCAAAAAACATGCATGAGGCAGGGAGGGGGAAGACCCGGCCCAGGAAGCCCCCATACCAGCAGAAGGCGCTGTCTCACCCTTTCACCAGGGAGCCCGTTTCTGTGTCAAAGCTGTCCTGGGCATCCATTTTCACCTCCTTCCCACTGGAAACCCTAAACCCCTCCCCTTTTTTCCTTCTGGATGGGGAGGTGAGAACATTTGGAGAACACACTATGTTCTCTCTCCTTCCTGCCCCACTGGGGTCTTTCTCCTAAACCAAAGACTGCAGTAGACCCCGTGGGTCATCCAAGGACCAAGCTAGGCATTTTTTTTTAAAGCAATATTGTTCTGAAAAATCCCTGCTCTGCCCCCATTGCAGCTGAGATGTAACCAACCAGACCCAACCCTAAGACCGCCAGGATTTGTTGATGCCAGCCCATGTCTGCGTCTCATTTGTGCCTAGGGTGTCCATGTTGTCTGCCCCCACTGCCCCAATACAAAGCCGTTGCAACTCCACAGATGCTTCTTTACTAAAGAAATACGTGCTTTCTTATTAAACCCCACAGGCGAGGAAACGAGACCTCGTTCGTTCCTACCAGAAGGTCTGGAGGGCGTAGAGTTATTGAAAACGCAGATGGCTCTGAGGAGGAAGTGGACGCTCGCGACGCAGACTTCAATGGAACCAAATCCAGTGAATGAACGACTTCGAGTTTTGCACCACAGCAGAAGATCCCACCAAAGAACAGATCAACCAAACCCAACCCAGCAAACCCTACTTAGCATCGTCCAACCCTGTCTTCAAGTTTCAAACATCACGGACAACCCCAGAACATAAAAACCACTGCCCTGAGTCAGGGTACAGAATTCCAAGTTTTTATGATGTGGCAGAGGAAAAAGCCCAACAGGAACAAAAACACCCTCCTGCTCTACCGATCAGGCAGAGATGTTAAGTTTTTTTGGGAAGATACAGCCACAGTAACCGGTCACTGGTAACTTCGTTTACATGACATGGGGTGAAGTTCACCACGATGGGTGCCGCTGCCCCACTCCCACTCCCAGTTCATTCCCTAACCTCTGTGCCCTTCCAAGCCCCTGAGTAAGGCCCTGGTTTGAGAATCCCTTCTCCCTCTCCTGGCTACCACACCTCAGACATGCACAGTTCACCCCGCCCAAGTGCCTTCTGTAGTCACAAGAAGTAAAAAAGGAGACACTGTTCCATGGATGAGAACAGGGACGGTCCACTGTCTTATGTGCACCCAATTGTACTTCCGGACACCTTCACTAATAAAAGGTCATACGTCACTAGAATGTGCTCGCCTCTTCTCTTGTCTTCCACGGAGCAGAGGGAAGCAGGGAGAGCTGGGTCCTAGTTTAATCCTCACAACAGCCATCGTTATCTTCTAAATGGGGACACGGAGGACTCGGGGCGTGAGATCAGTCACCTACGATTTCACAGCCGGCAAAGGAGGAGCAGAGATGAGGAGTGAGGCCATCTGAGGGGGCGTCTGCGTGCAGGACGTGGGCAGCTCAGAGACTGGGGAGTAAGATCTGTGGCTGGCACAGCACTGTCCCCTACCCTAAAACATGACCAGGGAAATCTGCTTTATCCATGAAAACTAAAACGTATACAATATGAGGGGGCTTCAAAACATTCATGGGAAATGTATATTAAAAAGCTCTCTGGATTTCATTTTCTGTGCCAAAATTCCATGTTCCCATATTTTGAAGTACCCTTAGAGAATGTGTAATCCTTAGTACAAAAATCTTATATTCAAAATGTTCCAAAATTTCAAAGCTTTTTGAGTATAGACATGACATGATGCTACAAGTGGGAAATTCTACACTGACCTCATGTGAGAGGTTGCACATACATGTGCACTGAGAATACCATATGAAGTTACCATCAGGCGGTGGGTTTTGTGGCACAGTGGGTTAGGCTGCTGTTTGAGACACCGACACCCACACCCACATCAGAGTGCCCGGTTCAAGTCCCAGTTGCTCTGCTTCTAATCCAGCTTCTTGCCAATGTGCCATGGAAGCAGAAGATGGCTAGTAGTTGGACCTATACCATTCATGTAGGAGACCTGCATGGAGTTCTAGGCTCCTGGCTTTGGCTTAGCCCAGACATAGCTGTTGCATTTTGGAAGTAAGTTAGGAGACAGAAGCTCTCTGTGTCACACTGCCTTTCAAGTAAATAAATAATCAAAAAAATTACTTTCAGGGAGTGGGCTTTGGCACAGCAGTTAGGATGCCACCTGGGAAGCCTGCATCCTACGTCAGAGTGCCTTGTTTGAGTCTGGGCATCTGCTTCAGACCCAGCTACCTGCTAATGTGCACCCTAGGAGACAGCAGCTCAAGGACTTGGGTCCCTGACACCTACAAGGACAATCTGGATTGTGGTTCCAGCTCCTGGCTTTGGTCTGGCCCAGCCCCAGCTATTGCTGACATTTGGGGAATAAACCAGCAAATAGAAGATCTTTTTCTCTGCCTTTCAAATAAAATGAAAATAAATAAAACTTTAAAAAATTACCTTCATGGGGTCAGCATTGTGGCACAGCAGGTTAAGCCACCACCTGTGACACTGCCATCCCATATGGATGCTGGTTCGAGTCCCGGCTGCTCCACTTCCAACCAAGCTCCCTGTTAATGCACCTGAGAAAGCAGCAGAAGATGGTCCAAGCAGCTGGGCCCCTGCCACCCACATGGGAGACCTGGAAGAAACTTCTGGCTTTGGCCTGGCCCAGCCCTAGCCATTGTGGCCATCTGGAGCATGAACGAGCAAACAGCAGATCTGTAGATCTAACTTTGCCGTTCAAATAAAGATAAGTAAATCTTAAAAAAAAAAAAAAAAAAAATCTGAAAAGCCTGGTCCCAAGCATTTTGCCTAAAGCATTATTAACCTGTAAAATGAAAAAAATACAAGACTGCCACGATTTTTTTAAGTTAAATCCCAAATCTATATCCAGTAGGGGTCTACAAACTCTATAAAGGCCAGATGGTAAACATTTTAGCCTTTGAAGGATATAGGTCACATTCTCACCTTAATTTATTTTTATTTTTTGAAATCCTTGAATATATAAAAAACTCCTTAGAGTGTGGGGACTATACACGCTGTGGGCCCATTCCCTCCTCAGTGTGGAATGTCCAGACACATACGCCGGGCAAAACTTCTACTCAAAGCCATTGTGTTCTAGAGAGCAACTCTGTAGGATAAAAGTTGAGAGGAAATACAGAAATGGAGAGGACTCAACTGAGGAGTGGGCATTTTGTCTGGGGGTTAAGACATCTGCATCCCACAGTGGACTGGCTCTCGCTCCTGACTCCAGCTCCCCACCAATGCAGACCTGGCAGGCCTGGATTGAGTCACCAGCTCCTTGCTATAGCCCTGACCTAGCCCTGTTGTTGTAAGCTTATGCAGAAAGTCTGAGGCGAGCTCTCTCTGCCTCTCAAATAAACAAAATCAGAGAACAAAACAAATAATATACTAACATGCTAATATATGCTGGATGATGGCAAAGTGTCCCAAATACAATACACGTCCCTGCTAATGTTCCTGGGAAAGCAGCAGATGATGGCCCAAGTGCTTGGACCTCTGCTATCCATGTAGCAGACCCGGATGGAGTTCCAGGTTCCAGGGTCCTGGCTTCAGCTTAGCTCACCCCTGGCTGCTGTGGACATTTGGGGAGTGAACCAGTGGATATAAGATCTCTCTTTATGTCTCCCTTTCTCTGTCATTCTGGCTTTCAAATAAATAAATATTTTTTTAAAGATTTGAACAAGAAATTGTTTTGTGGTTATTTTTTAAAAATGATTTATTATGTATTTGAAAGTCAGAGTTACAGAGAAAGAGGAGAGGCAGAGGCAAGGAGGGAAGGTGGGAGGGAGGGAGGAAGAGAGGGAAGGAGGGAGAGAGAGAGGAAGAGAAAGATCTTCCATCTGCTGGTTTACTCCCCAAATGGCTGCAACAGCCAGAGCTGGGCCAGGCCAAAGCCAGGAGCTTCATCTGGGTTTCCCACATGCAGGGGCTGAAGGACTTGGGCCATCCTTCACTGCTTTCCCAGATGTATTATCAGAGAGCTGGATCGGAAGTAGAGCAGCTGGAGCTCAAACCGGTGGCCATGTGTGATGCCAGCACTGCAGGCAGCAACTTTACCTGCTACATACCTCTGAAAATAAAATTCTTTAAAAAAATAAAAGCTGGGGGCCAGCACTGTGGTGTAGAAGGTTAAGCCTCTCATGCAGTGCCAGTATCCAATATGGGTGCCAGTTTGAATCTCGGCTGCTCCACTTCCAATCCAGCTCCCTGCTAATGCGCCGGGTAAGCAGTGGAGGATGGCCCAAATACTTGGAACCCTGCACCAACATGGGAGACCTGGAAGAAGCTCCTGGCTCGTGGCTTCAGCCTGGCCCAACCCTGGTTATTGTGGCCATTTGGTGAGTAAACCAACAGATGAAAGATCTTTCTCTCCTATTTCTAACAAGCTAATTAACTGATTAAATAAAAAATTCCCACCACCAAACAAGCAAACCCAGAAGTCCAAACAACAAAGCCATATCCACCACACCACAGACCAGTTGATCGTGACTTCCTTTGGATTTTATTGTTCTTTTAGAAAAATAAAAGTACATCTTTTACCGATATGGGTTAGGATGTCTCAGGATAAAATCCCTAGTACTGAGGCTTAATTCTCTGCTGAATTTCAGTAGCACTTGAAAAGTTCTATTTTCAACTTAAGGACATTTTTGCAGTTCTTATAGAAAATAACTGAGTAACAAAACGAAGGCTGTTAAGCTGCATGCACGCTCCTGAAATTAGTGTGTTCTTCCGACCTGTGCGGGGAAGTGAGAGACAGCAGCTCACAGCAAGCGCTGGAAATCCTACAACGTTCTGTCGTTTGCCAAGAAGCGCCTGCCCACAATCCTGGGTTTCAGTGCGATCTGGGGCCTCCGGTCACCCCATGACAGCTCTGAAGGAAGTCCTGTTCCTAGAGGCTGCATTTCCGAGGCCTCCCAGGGCCTGGACACAGAAGCCATCCCCATGCCAGGGTGGCGGACTCAGGATTTACCTGATAATTTCTGAAACTCACTTAAGAACCTCAGGAAAGGCACGTGTAAAAGTCCCAGAGGCACAAGACCACGGTTTCAACCGTGGCACATGCCTCTTCCGTTCTCTGCTCCTGACAGGACTGAGGTGTGTGTCAAGCACTGGGACAGCTGGCTCTGGAAGCAGACACCAGGTGAGCGTGGGCCGTGGGGGGGTAGCCCCTGAGATGGGCTACGATCCCTGCTGGAAGGAGACTCCGGACATTAACCGTTACCTCTGAAGACTGACCGGGACCCCTGGGTGAGCGTGGAACGAGGGGCTAGCCTCGTCAACCACATTCACAGCCCTTCCCATGTCTTCACGACACACACTCTGACACAGACGCTGGAACCACGGTGACTTTTCACAGGGACAAACGCCGGGGGCCACAACGATGGCCTCAATTGCGGGCTCAGGCCACAAAGCACAAAAGCGAATGATGGTGACCGCTGGCTCTCATTTCTCCAACTAACTTAAGGAACCCAAACACCTACTGCAACGAGGGGGAGAAAGGCAGCGACACTGCACACACACCAGGGCTCCAGAAGCTTCCGTGGCTTTCCTAAAGCAACATCTTGACTACACCCTGGGTTGACGGCAGCGGTGGTGAGGAAATATGCGAAGGCGGCTTCCCAAATTCCAGGCGTTTTCCCAACCTTCAGACAGAGCAAACCAAGTTAAGCTGACGGCACAGCCGCGACCCACTGGCTAGCACGGGGCCCACAGAGTTCTAGAGTATCAATAGTCGGGAGCAGGGTCTCAGGGTCTCAGTTTTCTCTCCTGTGAAATGAAGAAAAGGACACTGGCTATCTGGCTCTCGGACCCCTTGGGTCGCACAAAAAGCGCAGTCTCAGGAAGCCCACTAAAAGCACCCACTTCTTACTTGTCAATTAAAAATATTGAAAACTGGGGCTGGAGCTGTGGAGCAGGTCAAGCCACTGCCTGCAACACTGAAGCCCATATGAGCACCGGTTTGAGACTTGCTGTTCCACTTCTGAGCCAGCTCCCTGCTAATGTGCTAATGCACCTGGGAAAGCAGTGGAAGATGGCCCAAGTGCCTGTGGCCCTGCTACACATGTGGAAAACTGGAATGGAGCTCCTGGTTCCTGGCTTTGGCCTGGCCCAGTCCTGGTTGTTGCAGCCATTTGGAGAATGAACCAGTGGATGGAAGTTCTCTCCCCCCCCACCCCCCGTCAACCTTTCAAATAAATAAATCTCTAAAAACCATTAAAAATTTAAAAATAATAATATAAAAATCTATATCTAAAGGTCCAGAAGTTAACTGCATGCATGGAATGTAACTTAATTTCCTGTTATGTCTGCCACAGACCCATCAGTCCCAGGTAGCTCAGGAGCCGGGGAGAGGGTGGCAGGTCTTAGAGATCCTCTGAATCTGAAAGCTGCCCTGGTTTTCTTTAAGTGAGACAATAAATGGGCCGGCGCCACGGCTCACTTGGGCCCTGCACCCCATGGGAGACTGGGAGGAAGCACCTGGCTCCTGGCTTCGGATCTGCGCAGCGCGCCAGCCATAGCAGCCATTTGGGGGGGGGGGGGGGTGAACCAACGAAAAAGGAAGACCTTTCTGTCTCTGTCTCTCTCTCTCTAACTCTGCCTGTCAAAAAAAAAAAAAAAAAAAAAAAAAAAAAAAAGAAAAAGAAAAAAGAAAAAAAGAAAAGAAATGAAGCTGTTAGAAACCATGGCTGTGTTTTCTTTTTCTTTCTTTTTTTGACAGGCAGAGTGGACAGTGAGAGAGGGAGAGACAGAGAGAAAGATCTTCCTTTTTGCCGTTGGTTCACCCTCCAATGGCCGCTGTAGCCGGGGCACCGTGCTGATCTGAAGCCAGGAGCCAGGTACTTATCCTGGTCTCCCATGGGGTGCAGGGCCCAAGCACTTGGGCCATCCTCCACTGCACTCCCTGGCCACAGCAGAGAGCTGGCCTGGAAGAGGGGCAACCGGGACAGAATCCGGCGCCCCGACCGGGACTAGAACCCGGTGTGCCGGCGCCGCAGGCGGAGGATTAGCCTAGTGAGCCGCGGCGCCGGCCCATGGCTGTGTTTTCTAATTGGGTGATGGGTTTCAGGAATCTAGTCTGGCTAGAACTCAATGTCAGTTTCCTGAAAGGGTCTACAGATTTACAATGGAAAAAAAAAAAAAAAAAAAAAAGCAGGGGCCGGGGGCATTACGACACACTGGGTTAGGCTGCTCAGGATGCTCCCATCCCCTACCAGATGCCTGAGATCAAATCCCACCTCCCTCTGGAACTGATCCAGCTCCCTGCTAATGTGACTGAAAGGCAGCAGTGATGGCTCAAGTACTTGGGTCCTGCCACCTACATAGGAGATCTGGGTGGAGTTCCAGGCTCCTGGCTTCAGCCTGGCTCAGCCCTAGCGTTGCAATTATTTGGGAAGTTAAGCAGTGAACAGAAGATCTCTCTTTCTCTTTCTGCTGCTCTGCCTTTCAAATAAATACAAACGAAGAGAGAAACATTTATAATTAAGAGAAATTCTCCCTCTGAAGGAAGCACACCCAGAACATTTTCACAGAGTGACCACGAGTCACGGATGCAGAACTGAATTAGGAAAACTGCCTTCTCCTTGGCCGTCTGCCCAGACCAGAAGACACCACCTCATTCTGTCTCAAGGGAAGGAAGCAAAAGATAAGGTTTGCTGAAATAATCCTACAACTTAGAAAACAAGGGCTATGGGCTGGGGTTAGTATCTCCCCCCTGGAGTAGACAAGTGCTCCCCTACCATGTGGTTCATCAATGGCACTGACCCTTTGTCACCCAATGGCACGCTGGTGCTGCCAGACCGTCTGTCGCCACCGTCTCTGCTCCTGCTCCCCCGCCCTGGGGCTGGGCCACTCGTCCGGTTTGGGGACTGATCGTACACGAAGTTTCGGCAGGAAGCAAGTTTGGACTCCAGTGCCTGGGGAAAAAATATGCTTTCATCTCCCACTCTTCTCTCTCAGGGGAGTCCCTACATGGACAAGAACCTAAAGCAGTGATTCTCAAACTGCTGTGCACTAGAATTCCACAGTGGAACCCCAGAGGCATCCAGCATCCAGCCAAGTCTTACCTGTGTAAGGTATCTGGGAGGCAGACACTAGGCAGTGGTTAAAAGAAGCCTGCATCCTGCGTGGGAATACCTGGGTTCGCTAAATGACTCTGGCTCCTCAGCTTCCTGCTAATGCACACTCTAGGGAGCAGTGGTGACAGCTCAAGTAATCAGGGTCCTGCTACCCAGGTGGGAGATCTGGATTGAATTCCCAGCTTGGGCTTGGTGCAACCCCAACCGTTGCCAGCATATGGGGAGTGAACTAAAGGATGCAAACAGACTGTCTGTCTGTCTCTGTCTTTTGCTCTGCCTCTCAAATAAATTTTTAAAAAATTATTAATAAAGTATTTGGGCAGGGACCTGCGGCACCAGCATCCCATATGGGCACCTTGGGCCCCGGCATCAGTGTGGGAAACCCCGAAGAAGCTTCTGGCTCCTAGCTTCGGATCAGCCCAGGTCCTGCTGCTGCAGCCATCTGGGGAGTGAACCAGCAGATGGTAGACCTCTGTGTCTCTCCCTCTCTCTGTCTGTAACTCTACCTCTCAAAGAAATAAATAAAATCTTTAAAACAAAATATTTGGGCATTCCTGGAAAAATCACTAACCCTACCTATCTTCCAACTTTGCCTCTAGAAAACATGTATGAAATCAACTTTTCAAATTTGTTTGCTTTTTTTCTTTACCTCGTTAAGCATGCACAGCAGGGCAGGAGGTTTAAAAAAAGAACTTGGCCTTGTGGTAAGCAGCCCACGAGGAAAATTACAGGGCAGTGAGACCAGCCCAGACTCCTCTGTACTCTGTGCTAGATAGTCAAAAGACCTGTTTACGTAACAGAAAACTAGGCAACCAAAAGCCGAAACACTAGGAATGAGTTGCAAACTTCCAGGAAGTTGCAGCCATGAATACACATGCATACTGCCTGAAAACAACCTTCCAGCTGTCATAAACGAATAAAACAAGTACAGAGAAAATCTTTGCTACTGCTTAAGCCCAAAACAATCTCTCCCTGAAATTAATACAATACCTAGAAGACTTTCTCTTTCCAAGGAAGGTAATATTTAAATGTTCCTCAGTTTTTTTTTTCAAATTAAGGGGAAAAAACACACATGGATATCAACCTCATTTTCCAGATTGTTTTGGAGGGAAAAATGGTACAAAGAAAAAAAAAAAAAAAAAAAAGACACGGCCAGGAATCTAAGGCAACACTCCAGTTCAGAGCTCTGGGTGACTGGCTATGGCCTTGTCTACAGGAAGCGTGATGACTCTTAAGAGATGCTAAAGCACCAGCCACACCTAAAACTCATGATACGGCCACTAGAGGGGAAAGACCAGGGTGAACCCTCTCACACAGCCTGAAACAAGGGCCCAGCAGGGCATGGCCTTACCCCCACTTTCCGTAGCAGGTCCCCCACGATATTGAGTGCCGATATCCGGGCAGCAGGTGTGAGTGGGGTTCCACCAGCGGGACTGTCCAGACCTGGGGGTACAAAGAGAAGTGCATGGAACAAATCGACCAGTAGCAGTGAGTCTGAGCACTCACATCTCTGCGTGTGACAATTGTGGCGGGGAGCAGGCAGTGAGGCTCAAGAATCAACTGCAGGACACACTGCGTCTCTCTGATGTCCACCTCGTCCAGTCCTTAAAATGCCTATGTTCAATATTCATTTCTACGTGTTCGTCTTCTTCAGCAAAATCAAAACAAGTACTTGTGAAGTCTTAAGGATTCCATTATCTTCCCTCACTCAAAAATCTGAAAAGCACTCTAAAGTCTGAAACTCTGTGAGCACTGACATGACACCACAAGTGGGAAACTGCACACCACACTTGACTTCATGCACAAAATTACTCATGTTTAACTGAGCTTCAGACTGTGTGCATAAGGAGTGTATGCAACAGAAAATGAACTTCCTGTGTCGAGGTGGGTCCTACCCCCAAATATCTCATTCTGTATGTGTAATTGCCACAAAATGTGAAGAGGAAAAAAGGATCTGAAATGGGAAACACTCCTGGCCCCAAGCATTTTGAATAAGGGATAGTCAACATGTGGTTAACCAGCCTGAGGAGCCTCTGGGATAAATGCCACACAGATGGAGCCAGCCATAGTTCCCAGGGTTCTATCTACAGAGCCCCTCTCCTCCAAGTGGGCCTGGGACCAGCATCACCTGGGCACTGGTTAGAAATGCAAAATCTCAGGCCCATCCCAGGCCTACTGAATCTGGGGTACATTTAACAAGACCCCAGGTGAGTCGTGTACCTTAAGTGTGGGCCACGGCTCCAGGCTGGGATTCTAGAAGCTCACCAGCTCTTTACCCCCAGGGCACATGCTAAGGGATGAGGCAAAATATAGCAGTAGGAGCCCTGAAGCCAGCCAGCCTGGGTTTGAACCCACCCTGGCCATTTACTTGCTGTGTGACTTTAATCAAGCTCCTTAACCCGGGGTCTCGGTCACCACATCCACTAAACAGGGACAGCACTCACATCCTGAGTGCTGAGAACTCGGAGACCACAGATGCCGAAGGCTTAGCCAGCACCTACTGAGCACTCACTGCCTGTCCTCCCTAATCCTGTTCAGGGAAGATAACAGAATGTCAGCATTTGCTCTCAGTGGCCTGATCAGAGTCTCACAGGTGAGCAGCCACTGGCAAAGGGATTGGGGGGAAAAGAAAACTCAGATGTCTTGGTCCACACTGGGGCTGGTACCCAACAGCTGTATTCTTGCCACACAGTAATTTGATTACAGACGATTTACATTTGGGCGATTTCATATGCAAAAAGGATTTTCAGCTTTTGGCAAAGATCAGAAAGATCCACAAATGCTGGGCCCACATTCCCTGCGACAGGAGTAGAACAGTGGCTCCCTTCTAAGCAGGGTGGCCCCTCCTACACCTCACCACAGATCCCACACCAGATCCAGGACATTCCTCTCCTGTATCTCAGTGCCCTGCAGCTGACAGCTTCCCAGACTGCGCCCTGTTGTGCAGCCTGTTCCAAGTCATCTCAGCCAGGACCCACCCGGTCCTCATCCCCTTACCGTGTCTGAAGGCCCCTGGGGTGTTTAAACTGGCGCTGGGCCCCCGGTGAGCTATGGGGGTGGACGGCACGGAGCCTGTGGCCTGCACAGCTGTGTCTGTCCTTTCAGCTTCCACGGAGCTGGGCTTGGGGGTCCTGGGTTTGTCTTGCTTCTGCTGCACAGCCAACTCCTGCCGCAAATCTGTGCCAGGAAATGCATTGAAAGTTGAGGTCCTTGCTTTGGGTTGGTGGGGCAGGGAGCTCCCATAAGGAGGTGAGGAGAGGGAAAAGAGCCACGAGGTGGAAAACTCCAGGTAGATGCACCCAGTGCGAAGACACCCTCATGACTCGGCCTTGCAGACTGGTAAAACCACAAGATTCTTCTTTTGTGTTAAAAAACAAGAGCCTGAACGGCTTTTAGAAATGATGGCCAGGACACACTACTGTCTTAATGTCACAAAACACAAAACACCCAGCTCAGCAATGTATGTAGGACACTAAATGGAGGTATGCTTTCCTAACCAGTCCCCAAACACCTTCCTCACTCAGGAGTTTTGCACTCTGTATTATCATATGTATAGTTTCTACGTATGAGGGTACTTTACAAAGTTCACAGAGAATGGCATTAAAGGGCCAGTGCTGTGGTATAGTGGGTAAAGTTGCTGTCTGACAGCCAGCATCCCATATGGGTGCCAATTTGGGTCCTTTCTAATGCACACAGAGGATGGTCCAAGTGGTTGGGCCCCTGCACTAATGTGGGAGACCTGGAGGAGGCTCCTGTCTCCTGGGTTTGGATTGGTTCAACTCTGGCAGCTGCAGCCATTTGGGGAGTAAATCAACAGATGAAAGACCTCTCTAACTCTGCCTTTCAAGTAAATAAATAAATCTTAAAAAAAAAAAAAAAAAAAAAGGCCGGCGCCGCGGTTCACTTGGTTAATCCTCTGCCTGCGGCACTGGCACCCCGGGTTCTAGTCCCGGTTGGGATGCCGGATTCTGTCCTGGTTGCTCCTCTTCCAGTCCAGCTCTCTGCTGTGGCCTGGGAAGGCAGTGGAGGATGGCCCAGGTCTTTGGGCCTGGCACCCGCATGGGAGACCAGGAGGAAGCACCTGGCTCCTGGCTTTGGATCGGCACAGCGCGCCAGCCGTGGTGGCCATTTGCGGGGTGACCGACAGAAAAGGAAGACCTTTCTCTCTGGCTCTCTCACTGTCTAACTCTGTTTGTTTGTTTGTTTTTGTCAAACAGTGTGGATGACAGACTAATGACCATCTCATTCCAGTCGGAAAGCTCTGCCTCGGAACGTGACAAGGTTTCAGAGTTCTCAGCCAAGCTATATCAAACGCCATCTAGTCACAAAATCACGGGCTGGCCAGCAATTCCGCCAACACAAGTTTTCTCCCCACAAAACTCTTGTGTTCCTACCAAACTGGTGTGGTGTGAGGGACACACCAGGAAGCATCTTTCTTAAGGTGAATTCAGCTGCCCAGGGGCAAAACCCCAAGCCAAGGGCTTAATCTGTGAACTCCAAAGCTAGTTCTGCAAAAACCCAGGAGGGGTGTTTATGGGGTTGCACGTCTGATAGATCTGAGCACTGGCCCATGTGGTCTGCTGTGCAGAATTCTAGGGAGACAGTAGGACCAGGAACCTAGGCAGGGAGAAGCGACAACAAAGGGGCAGACACAGAGAACAAGGCCACAGCCTCCTGACCTCTGGCTTCATCCTTCAGCCGCTGCACGGATTCTAGGAGATTCTCCTTCTCGTCAAGTTCGCTTTCCAGGAAGGCATTTCTTTCGATGGCTTGATTCAGGCGCTGCTCAAAGTCTTCCAGAGACATGATCGTGGCCCTGGGAACGAGGAAAGCCAAGTCATTCAAGAGAGCAAGCGGGAGCCTCCATCCAGCACCAAGAGAACCAGGAGATGGAAGGGTCAGTGATACCTGGGCACAAGTCCCAGCTCTGGGCTTCCTGGTACTGGAGAGCTGGGCAAGTCCCCTGCCTTCTGGGACTGGGGCTCTCCACTTGCAGACTGGGAGTCTGCAGAGCTCACGAGATGCCCCAGGCTGCCACAAGGATTCAGTAAGATAACAGCCGCTCAGTACCCAGCAGGGAGCCCAGACCTCGTCAGAACTGCACACGGTATCCCGCTGTCTGGGAAGAGCAGCAGGCTCTGCCTTCTCTTGGAAGCTCACAGAGCAAAACACTACTTGCAACAGCCTAATCACACACACGTGCAATTTAACAACCTGCATTTAATCACATAGAAGAAACCACCTTTCACCTCTTAGCTATGTTAAAGGTTTAAAAAGTTCTGGGGCCAGTGCTGTGGCACAGTAGGCTAAGCCTCTGCCCACGGTGCCAGCTCGTATCCCAGCCACCCCTCTTCCAATCCGGCTCTCTGCTGTGGCCTGGGAAAGCAGTCCAAGATGGCTCAAGTGCTCGGGCCCCTGCACTCATGTGGGAGACCTAGAAGAAGCTCCTGGCTCCTGACTTTAGATCGGCTCAGCTCTGGCCATTGTGGCCATTTGGAGAGCGAGCCAGCGGATGGAAGACCTCTCTCTCGGTCTCAAAGTCCCATTCTGGCCGGCAGCCCTGCTAACACTTCTTGTAAGCAGGTCAGACATTTCACTAGAGCACTGTGCCAAAAAGCACTGAGAAGTGCCGTAACAAAGACATCTATTTAACTCACTCTGGGAAAGCTACCTTCTCTGCGCCCCAGTTTCTTCATATATAAAGCAGGGATGGTACAGGACTTCACAGAAGAGTGAGGAACAAGGAAAGTCATATAAAACACACACAACTGGGGCTGGCATTTGGTGCAGGGGCTAAATGACTGCCTGGATGCCTGCATCTCACATCAGAGTGTGAGCCTGGCTCCCTGCCTGATTCCAGCTTCCTGCTAATGCACGCTGGGAGGCAGCAGGTCATGGTTCAAGTATCTGGGTCTCTGCCACCAAAACGGGAGACGTGGATGGAGATCCCAGCTCCTGGCTTCAACCTGGCCCAGCCTGAGCTAACATGGGCAATTGGCAAGTGAACCAGCAGATGGAAGGTACCTCTCTCTTTCTTTCAAATAAATCTTACAACAACAACAAAAATGCCTCCTGGTCTTACCACAATCTGTTATACTGACTGTACAAAACGAGGAGGCAGACCTTCCCCATACACTCCTCAGCTCAGGACTTGTGCCTGGTCTGTATTGTGAATGAGGGGGACATGAAGTTGGGGGGGAGGCACAAAAATGCTTCCTATGTATGTGCTCAGAAAAATGCCAGCAATTTTTTACCGACCCTGTGTTTGTCCCCAGAAGGCCTTTGACATGCTGCTACTTGTATTTTGCAGTGGTTAGGAGCCTATGTTTGGAGTGGAACACGGGAGTTAATATCCAGCTCCTAACTGGGTGTCCATAGCAAACTTAACCTTGGGGCTAGCGCTGTGGCACAGCAGGTTAAGCTGCTACTTGCAGTGCCGGCACTCCGTATGGGTAAAGGTTCAACTTCCAGCTGCTCCACTTCTGATCCAGCTCCCTGCTAATGCCTGGGAAAGCAGAAGATGGCCCAAGTGTCTAGGTCCCTGCACCCATGTGGGGGACCCAGATGAAGCTTCTGGCTTCAGCCTGGCCCGGCCCTGGCTGTTGCAGCCATTTGAAGAGTGAATCAGTGGATGGAAGATATCCCTCTGTCTTTCCATCCCTCTAGATAACTCTGCCTTTCAAATAAATAAATCTTTAAAGAAAAAAAAAAAAAAAACAATCTTGAGTCTTAGTTCGTTCAACCACTAAGCAAGGATAGATTCAATCAACTTGTCCTCATGTCTAGATTGAGTTTCTTAGTACCTACCCTCAAAGGGTCTTGAGAAGTCAATAGGAAAGTTACTAAAGGTGCCTGATTAAAAGAAACAAAGGGTAATATTTAGGACTACAACACTGGAATCAGCTAAAATAGTCCTCAGGTTAGCATGTCAAGCAGCGACGATAAAATTACCTAGGAATTCCTCTGACCACAAATAAGCACGGCTTTACTGTAGGGCACAGACGCCTGTGGAAACAGACACTGTGTTTATGAAAAGACAGGATGTTATATACCAATTTATTTTTTATTTGACAGGTAGAGTTAGACAGTGAGAGAGAGCCAGAGAGAAAGGTCTTCCTTCCGTTGGTTCACTGCACAAATGGCCGCTACTGCCAGTGCACTGGCCGGTCTGAAGTCAAGAGCCAGGTGCTTCTTCCTGGTCTCCCATGCGGGTGCAGAGCCCAAGCACCTGGGCCATCCTCCACTGCCCTCCCGGGCCACAGCAGAGAGCTGGCCTGGAAGATGAGCCACCGGGACTAGAACCCGGTGCCCATATGGGATGCTGGCGCCATAGGCGGAGGATTAACCAGGTGAGCCACGGCACCGGCCCTGAGGATGTTATATACCAATTAACTCTTGGGGCTGGTGTTGTGGTGCAATAGGTTAAGCTGGCATCCCACACTGGAATATAGGTTTGAGTCCTGGCTGCTCTACTTCTGATTCAACTCCCTGTAAATGTGCCTGGGAAGCAGCAGCAGACGGCCCAAGTGTTTGGGGCCCCGCCACCCACGTTGGGGAGACCAGGATGGAGTTCCAGATTCCTGACTTTGGCCTGGTCCAGCCCTGTTGTGAGAGTGAACCAGACATCAGAAGATCTGTTTCTCCCTCTGTGGCTCTGCCTTTTAAATAAGTAAATAATTTTTTTCTTTAAATCCATTGCTAATTCATCTTGGTGGCTCCCCAGCCGGCCTCAGACCTAGAAGTGAGGCTCACTCTGGGCTGCAATGATTTCTGATGCTACCTTTACCATGAGTTACACTCGCAAGTATCTGCATCTGCTTCTGGACCTTTAGTTGCGCTTGTTAGTCTGTTTACGTAACCAGTGCCAGGCTGTGGTTCATCACTGAAGGCCTATGGTAGTCTGCTCCTTATGTCAGTTCCCTCACAGCCTCCTGGTCAGAGATCCCCTGGCCATCCTTATTTCATTATCACAAATCCGCCTGCCTGTGCCATCTGTATTTTTATTTGGATGATGTTACTTTTATCATTAGCTTTCAGAGAACTTTTTTTTATTTAATGACTGATTGAAAGTGTGATGAAAGTACAACAGAGGGGTAAAGATTTATGGAAATTTACAACAAGATACATTCCAACTGGATCAGAAATTTAAAGAGCTATTTGTTCAAAATCTACTCATTTGTTTCGAGAATGCCAGAGAACTTAAGATCAACTTCAGAACCATTTCTGCCACCGCTGAACCCATGTGGATCAATAATCTTGAGATTGCACGTGGTCAGAGTAATAGCACCAGTGTTAACCAAGAAGGCATGTCATTCAGATTTATTTACTGTAGAATTAAAGTCAGCATGTTAGTTGTTGCCTGAGTGAAAATCACTTTTTGTATTTCATCTACTGAAGTGATGTATAAAAATATAGTTACGGGGCAGACATTCCGGTGCTTCCTGCTAACGTACCCTGAGTGGCAGAAAATGAAGGCTCAAAAGCTTGGGCTCCTTCTGCTCACTTGGGAGACCTGAATGGAGTTCCAGGCTCTTGGTTTTAGCCCGGCCCAGCCCTGGCTGTTGCAGGCAGTCAGGGAGTGAAACAATCGATGCTCTTTCAAGTAGATAAAAATAAGCATTTTTAAAAATTTACTGTAAATTATAAAACGCTGTAGAAATTAATGACTGAAAACTATTCATTTCACATAATATTGAGAACCTGAAAACTGTTTGACGGAGAAACAGATTTACAATAAATATTAAGAGACAGAGTTGTTGAATATCTTTAAGCCAAAACACCATGTGGAAGATAAAGTTAAATTATCTCAACTTTAATCTCTGTAGAACTTCTGGTATCTCAGTACTCATGTATTTCACAAAGTAACCTTTAGGGCATGTATTTAAACTTTTAATTTTTAGTTACTTCTAACTACCCCCTTAGTCTTTCAAAGTTATTATTGGACACGGTTCCCCTCCTCAATAAAAAGCAAGTCATTCAGTTTTACGGATATGCAGTATAAAGACAGTAAGAGCAATGCAACAGCTGATGGCACCGAGAAATTGTTCTTACAGCAGACTTTCAAATTTCCAAAATTTGAGATCATAAAATTAAAATTGTATAATAAGAATATTCTGGAAGTCGGAGCTGTAGTACAGTGTGTTGAGCCACCTCGGATGCCCACATTCCATATTGGAGTGCCTCCGATCCATCTTTCTGCTTAACACACCCAGCAAGGCAGCAACTGGGAAGGCAGTGGATGACAGACCAAGCACTTGGCTTTCTCCCACCCAGTGGGAGATCAGGATGGGAATTCCTGGCTCTTGGCTTCAGCCTGATTGCTGTAGGCATTTGGGGAGTCAATCAGTGGCTGGAAGATTCTCTTCCTCTCAAATAATTTTTCAAAATGTTAAAGTTTTTAAAAATAAAGCTTTGGTACTCTGGAATTTTATTCATTCTCTAATGAATAATGGTGATTTGGGCTTCTACCCCATCTGATCTGAACACTCCATTATTCAGGGCATGGACAATATGTGACCCCAGTGTATCTTTAGTAAAAATGTGAGAGAAGAAAGAAAAAGAAAACACAAAAATACTAGAGGACAACACAGGCCAGATGATCTCATCAACACTGAAGTGAGAAGGGCCTTCAAGCCTGACAGACTCATGACCTGGACTACAGTAAAGCAAACGGTAATTAGGCTGAAGGAAGACAAACTCCAAACACTTGTGACTCACAGCCTACACCAGTGTAGAAAACTCTCCTAGAAAAGATGAAAAACACAGAAAATCCAACCAACAACAGACCAAAGATTAATAGAGAGCTCACAGAAAACA